AGGGAAAGATGACTTAAGCTTGTAATTTTTATACCAGGTAGAATTTGAAGAATGTAGGCTACTTTTAAAGTCTGGTGCTTCATTTTAACAGTTAAAGTTTGATAAGTTTAAATGTTTGTGTTTAAAAGATAGATCACTATTTTAGTTCAGGCCTGGGCATTTGTACTGGGTCCTACGGTTTCTCTCCCTTTATTGTCTTCAGCCTTTCAGTCTCCTTCACTAGGTCTTAGTTTATCTTTATAAAGCACAGATCTGATTGCGCCACTCACTTGCCTCAAAACCTTTTATAGCTTTCATTCACTATCTGTAGGATAAAGTCCAAACTCCTTAGTAGGATCTGTGAAACCATTTACTACAGGCCCTGATAAAAATGTCTAGTCCTGTTACTCTTTTCTATGAATATGAATGTTTTCTGGATCCTCTCTTGAGCTCCAAACTACACATTATTTTTTTAGAGTCTCTTAAAAGTCTGTGACTTTATTTCTATACCTTGTTAATGCCTGTATTTCTGCTTCCTAACTACACACAGTGAAATCTTAAATTTTATCCACAATTACTTAAAAATGTCTTATGTGAAATCTTTTTTTTTTTTCATTTTTCTGTGTTCCCCCAAAGTGTTCTGATTATATGCCTAGTGTACACCACTATTCACATAGTAGTAGCTTGTATGTGTATGTCTGCTTGGATAGATTGTGAACCACTTGAAGATGAGCTTGTATATCTCATGGGCTTACTCATCCTTATTTCATCTTGGCAGATAGGCTCAAATGTCTTGAATGGAGTCATTACACTGTGGTTCATCTATTGAAATATATACTCTTCAACTGTGTGTGTACATGAAAATCAGGTAGTGAGTCTCCTTAAGAAATTTTTAGGTTCATCTGGTTCTGCAATATTTGTATTAAATTTTGTGGAATGGTTTACGTTGAGAGAACAGTATTTGTCTTAACCTTTTTTTTTTTTTATGGTCACAAGACCCCCCTTTGAGAATATGAAGAAACTCTAGATACCATTGCCCCCACCCCCACCCCAGGCCCTCTATCAAAAAGTTGGTATGCTCTTTTAGAGGATTTAAAGATCCCTTGAATCCCAGGCATGGATCCTAGGTTGAGAATTCTGGGCTAGATATGCTCATGTTCTCATTGTCTAGTGATGTGTGGAGTTTTAGGAAATCATATACAGATCTAGAAGGAAATGGGTTAGGGATGGCATTATTTTGATGGTGATTAATTCATATAGGGTCTCATTCCCCACGTCTTTACCCCTGGTCTTAGTGGGAGACAAGTATGGTATAGTATTTAAGAGCCTGGCTTCTGCAGTTATACTGGCTTAGTTTTAAATCCTGTTTTGGCCATTTGATAGCTGTGTGATTTTGTCTGTCAGTTTTGTCATCTGTGATATGGGGATAGTCATAATACCTCATAGGATAGTTGTAAGCAACAGGTGATATAATCTTATAAATCCCTATCATGGTTCTTGGCATATAAAAGTGGTTTTTGGCATATAAAAGAACGGTTCAAATGTTAGATGTTACTGTTGTTATTCCTTAAAAAATTTACCCTTTGAATGTCAAATGTCAATGTCAAAAAAAAAAATTGACATTGATTTGTTGGGTTTTATTGCTTTCTACTTTGCTCCATTGGTATTTTTCTAGTCTTGTCTAATCCATAAAATATGGAGATGATATCTGAGATTCTAGCAGGTCACAGAATACAAAATGTATATGTCTAGCATTCTTCTGCAAACTTAGGTAGAAATAGTAGGTAAAGCAACAGTCTATATCCTCCAGCTTTTAGATTCTAGAAAAACCTTTCAGATGGGCTGACTTTGCAGTGGTGGTCACAGGGCAATAACCTTTCCTCATTAAAAGTTTTTAAGGTCTCGTATTTTTTTAGTAGTTCATGGGAAAAAGAATTTGATGGCTCACTAAAGGAATCGCCCTCACCCTAAGTTTACTCTGGAGTACCTTAATACATGCCATGAAAGAGTAGCTTTAATTGTTTGATTTAAGGTTGATAGCAGTAATATACAAATCTTAACTTTTTCTAACTCAGGGAACTGATGACTCTGCTCTGATATTTCTTTTTCGTATGCATATGTAATGTACCTGATTTAGTGGTATGTTTTTAGTGAGATTTATACCTTTTGAACTCTGTTCAGTGAGGTATGTTTGGCTTGAGCTGTCCGTAATCTTTTCTCTAGCTACTTTTACTTTTATTTATTTATTTTTAACTGTAGATCATAGGTGAGGGATTAGAAAATCAGTTGGTAGTCATAAAACAAATAATATTCTAATTGAACTTTTTTCCTGCTCAAATAGCATGGCTTATCTTTGCAGTAACTAACAAAATTGGAAATGATGATTATTGTACTTTATGTAGTACTTGTGTATTTGAGCTGTGTTATGTTACTAAGAGAACTTTTATTTTCAGGTGGTAGGGTTTATGTCAGTTTTTAGAGTTTTTTGAGGATTGGATTAAATGTACCACAAATACATATCACATAACATTTTTTGTTTTCTTTATCCAGGCAGGTGATTTGGCTTCTGCACAGTTAGGAGGAGCACCAAACCGATGGGAGGTTTTGTCAGCCACACCTACAACTATAAAAGATGAAGCTGGTAATCTAGTACAGATTCCAAGTGCTGCTACTTCCAGTGGGCAGTATGTCCTTCCCCTTCAGAATTTGCAGAATCAGCAAATATTTTCAGTTGCACCAGGATCAGATTCATCAAATGGTACAGTGTCCAATGTTCAGTATCAAGTAATACCACAGATTCAGTCATCAGATGGTCAGCAGGTTCAGATTGGTTTCACAGGCTCTTCAGATAATGGGGGTATAAATCAAGAAAGTGGTCAAATTCAGATCATTCCTGGCTCTAATCAAACCTTGCTTGCCTCTGGAACACCTTCTGCTAATATCCAGAATCTCATACCACAGACTGGTCAAGTCCAGGTTCAGGGAGTTGCAATTGGTGGTTCATCCTTTCCTGGCCAAACCCAAGTAGTTGCTAATGTGCCTCTTGGTCTTCCAGGAAATATTACCTTTGTACCAATCAATAGTGTCGATCTAGATTCTTTGGGACTCTCGGGCAGTTCTCAGACAATGACCGCAGGCATTAATGCTGATGGACATTTGATAAACACAGGACAAGCTATGGATAGTTCAGACAATTCAGAAAGGACTGGTGAGCGGGTTTCTCCTGATATTAATGAAACTAATACTGATACAGATTTATTTGTGCCAACATCCTCTTCATCACAGTTGCCTGTTACTATAGATAGTACAGGTATATTACAACAAAATACAAATAGCTTGACTACTACTAGTGGGCAAGTCCATTCTTCAGATCTTCAGGGAAATTATATCCAGTCGCCTGTTTCTGAAGAGACACAGGCTCAGAATATTCAGGTTTCTACAGCACAGCCTGTTGTACAACATCTACAACTTCAAGAGTCTCAGCAGCCAACCAGTCAAGCCCAAATTGTGCAAGGTATTACACCACAGACAATCCATGGTGTGCAAGCCAGTGGTCAGAATATATCACAACAGGCTTTGCAGAATCTTCAGTTGCAGCTGAATCCTGGAACCTTTTTAATTCAGGCACAGACAGTGACCCCTTCTGGACAGATAACTTGGCAAACATTTCAAGTACAAGGGGTTCAGAACTTGCAGAATTTGCAAATACAGAATACTGCTGCCCAACAAATAACTTTGACGCCTGTTCAGACACTCACGCTTGGTCAAGTTGCAGCAGGTGGAGCCTTGACTTCAACTCCAGTTAGTCTAAGCACTGGTCAGTTGCCAAATCTACAGACAGTTACAGTAAACTCTATAGATTCTACTGGTATACAACTACACCCCGGAGAGAATGCTGACAGTCCTGCAGGTGAGTTTTCCAAGTCATGTCATGCTATAGATAAGTTCAGTGAGGTGTTTATCAGTGTCTGGCTGTCTTTAAAGGTGATGATACGTTTCCCTGTGTCTGTGTGAAAAGTCAACACCAAAATGTGTTTCAATTTGTTCTTCATTGAAAGATTGTAGGTTTTGAAGTCAAAGATTCATTTCTCTGTTATGCCAATTACATTTGTTGTTTTTCGTCACTTAGTTTTGTACATTTTTTCACATCTGATTGGTACTCAAGCATCACAGAATTTTTATTTGGCATGTAAGGTGTCTTGGCTGTTCTTGGTGTGATGTAAATTAAATGTTCTATGCATTTTGTTTGGTCGGGCAGTCAGGTTGGTATAGTGAAAACATGGTACTGGGAGTAGGTACTGTTTATGCTGTCTCACCCATTAGCTAGCCTGTGTGGTTTTGGCTAAGTTACTTTTTCTCTTGCAAACTCAGTTTTCTCAGCATGTAAAATGCAGCTGTTGGCCTAGGTAACTATACCTAGGGTACCTTCTAGACCTAAAATTCTTCAGTTCTGTGATAGTTTATTCTTACAAGTGTGAAGTACTTAAACCTAGCTGTGTTAGATATGTTATTATTGATTGTATGGGTAGAAATTTCGGAAGTCTACTCTTTGTTGTGTAAGAATTAAGTAATACGTAATTATTTAATAATAAAAATATAAATCTCTTTTAAAAGATAGTATCCTCATTACCTTAGTGATGTTATTTATTTAGATAGTGTTTTATTGAATCCTTTGTTGTACACTAAATTCTTACTTTTACCCTTTTACTTCATTATTTGGGTTTTTGTGGAGATTGTGCTGTTATAACCTTCCACTGAGTCAGTGATTCTAAACTCTTAAATTGGGACACTTGGATTTAATTTTTTGAAGTAATGGTATTTTTTCTTTTGAGGAATTTGTGATATATACTTAGAAAATAGGAATTGTCTGTACTTAGAAAGCGTTTAATTGCATTTGAGCCTTCTGAAGCTATGGTTTAGAGCAGCATTCTCAAAGTGTGGTCTGTGGATCTCTGAGGATCCCTGAGACCCTGTCAGAGGTCCTTGATATGAAACTACTTTTCATAATAATAGTACAATTTATTTGCCTTTTTTCTTGTATAGACATTTTCACTGATGGTGGCTAAAACTGCTGTGTTTTAGCGCAAATCAAAGCTGTGATGCTAAACTGTACTAGTAGTTGTATTCTTTATGACCATCCACTTGTAGTTAAAGAAAAATGCTAGCTAGCTTCACTGAGCAATGACCTTGATGAACAAGTCAAAAGAGTTATTTTTACTAAACCTTGACCCTTGAATGCTGCATGTCCTTTTTAAAATAATAGCTTTATTGAAATATAATTCACATACTATAAAACTCGCCCTTTAAAGTATACAGTTTAGTGGTTTTTAATATAGGCACAGACTGGTGCACCCATCACCACTCTCTAATTTTAGAGCATTTTCAGCACCTCCCCCAAACCCCGTACCCATTAGCGGTCACTCCACATTCCCTGCCCCGTCCCCTGAGCCCACAGCAACCACTAATCTACTTTCTGTCTCTAGATTTGTCTATTATATGTTATCAGTGGAATCATACAGTATGTGGCTCTCTGTGTCTGACTTTTCATTTACCATAATATTTTTAGGGTTCATCTGTCTTGTAGCCTTTAACCGTACTTTGTTCTTTTTTGTGGTTGAATAATATTCCATTGTATGGATATACCACATTTTATTCATTTATCCATTGATGGACAGCATTTCCATTTTTTAGCTATTAAGAATAATGCTGCTATGAACGTTCGTGTACAGTTTTTTGGTGTGGACATGTTTTTGTTTCTTTTGGGTATATACTTAGCAGTGGAATTGCTGGGTTGTATGTTTAACATTTTGAGGAACTGCCAAACTGTTTTTCCAGAGTGACTGTACCATTTTACATTCTCACCAGCAAAAGGGTTCCGGTTTTTCTGTATCCCCACCAACATTTATCATTGTCCTCCTTTTTGATTTTAGATATACTAAGAATGGGTGTGAAGTGATATCTCACTGTGTTTCTGATTTGTAGTTCCTGCTGCATGTCTTTGTAATACTCTTTATGACAAAATGGGAAGTATACTTTAATAAAGCACTTCTGCTGCATACCAAAATAAAATGATTATCTTTGAAAAAATATATATTGTTTTCAATTGAACAATTGTATGAGTTGCAAGCTGAACTATTAGCTAAATAGCTGTGCTATTTTTTGGAAACACATTTTACTTGAAAGACTGAAAAACTATGGTTATTGAGAGACTCATGTACTTAAGTGACAGATATTTTCTAAAAAATATAATGAATTAAGTGAGCCTGTCCCTAAAAGGAAAAAAACTTGACTGTTTGCTACCAATGATAAAAATTTGGGCTTTCCAGTGAAAATTAGAATTTTGGAAAACTTGAATCTACTACTATGAACTTGGTAACTTGTTAATAATTACATACTTTTATGATGAAATGGACAGTGATATTAATATTAATAAATAGCATTTTGGGGGATACTGTATTATAATGAAATATGCCATCATTTGGAAGATCTTTATGATGACTGAGTGAACCAGTAGTTTTCAGATGATCAACTCATGTTACAAAATCCTGCATGGGTAAAAGATCCATCCGTTCAGAGTTCAAGATAGGCCAGCAATAAGCATGTGGAAAGTTTACCAGTATAGTTTCAGATTCTGCATTACAACTGACCTTTAAGAAATTTAGCACTTGTCAGATTTGGTATAGTATCCAAGGAGAATAACCACAATTGGCTGAAAGACTATCAGATTACTTCTTTTTCCAGCCACATATCTTTGTGAAACTAGATATTCTTCATATGCTTCAGCCCAAACCACGTATTGCAACACACTGCAAAAGCAAATATGAAACTCCAGTTGTCTTCCTTTAACCTAGATATTAAAGAGATTTGCAAAAATGTGAAACATGACCTCTCTCCTCATTAAACTTTTAATGTATGTTTTTGGAAAATAGTTGTTTTTCATAAAATCTTAATTTTTGTTAACATTTAATGGATTTATTGTTTTCAAATGAATTAAAACATTTAAAATTTCTCTTCTAATTCCTAATACAGTAAATATCAAAATAAATACCGTACATTAACAAAAGCTTTTTGGGGACCTCAGTAATATTTAAGAGTTTAGAAGGAGTCCTGAGACCAAAAAGTTTGAGAATACTGGTAGATGACAGACTTCTGAAGACAAAGGAGATAGTTTTTAGAAACCAGTTTAAAGCTTCCACAAAGTTAAAGTTATGGAGGTCTATACATGTTAGAAAAACACCTCTAGAGAATTTATTTGTAGTTTTGTGGATTTATGTTGGTCATGAAATTAGACTGATACAAAGCACTAAGTGCTCAGTACAATAATTTATTTCCAAAATGCTATCAAAATAGCAAGTGTTTGAATTAAATACAAAATCGAATTTTTAAGATGATTTAGTTTATTGTATGTTGGCAAGGAAGGGTAAAATAAGCACTCCAGAAGGCCGTTAAATTTGAATATTTTTCCGAATTTTAAAGGAATGGGGAAAGAACTTGAGAAAATAAGAAAGAGAATCAGAATTAAAATGCTGCATGGTACGTAGCATATTTAGAAATAAAAACCAGGAAGTTGTAATTTGGGGATAATTTGGTAATAGGGAAACTATCCTTTGGTGTACTGCCTTTTTAATTGGCAAGAAGGAAGCAATTATCTTAGGATGTGTTTTCTTACATGAAAAATCAGTAAAAAAAACTTTATCGGTGTTAGAGCATAGTATGCACAGATGAACTGCTTAAAATTTTGACACCATTGGTTTGCATTTTGCTTTTTTGTGAGTATGGAAACAATGTAACACATTTCCCAAATAAATGAGACCACACCGTTTTTTTTTTACCAGGACTCTGCAGTTTCTTTGACCTTTTTTCTAAGCTCCCCTTTCACAAAAATGACCTCTATTCCAACCTGTTGTAAGAAGTGAATCTGATTCAGGGTCTCTCCTCATGAGGGGTATGTTTAGTGCCTCTTATCCCTTAGAAACCAAACCCCATCTTCCTTGGAACATAGAGCTCATTGGGCCCCAAGCTGCAACCCCACTCACTCCCTTTATTTCTTTTCCTTGCCCACTGAGAAATGCATGCTGTTTTTGAAATTTAATTTTTACTCTGTCTACCATTTGCTGTGTATTTGAAGCTAGGCGATCTTTCTGACATCTTTTCAAGTGAGAAAATTTCTCCCAAATTCAAGCCAAGACTTACCCAGTTTCTCAAATTTTAGTTCTCTACCCGATTTTGGCTTATCCTCTAAGATTGGGTATATTTAAAGCTTGGTGTCTTGCACGTTTTAAAATATTGTCATAACTATACTGCGTGTACAGTTTTTTTTATCCTACTTAATTTTTAGTTACTTTTTTTGGTAGGGTGACCATACCTGTTAAGTATTTAGGTCAGGAATTATATTCTATTTAATTATCTATTAATATAGTTAAAAAGACCCCACATGAGAAAGAGGTAAGAGTCAAATTCACTGCCTAAAACCAGGGCCTGGACTAGGATTCCTTTTTGTAGAGGCGAGCTTTAAAAAAAAAAAAAAAAAGGTTTGTCGCTGTCTGTTACTCTGAGGTACAGCTTAAATGAGGCTGTACACTTACAGAAATGAGAAGAGGACATGGGGAAATAGGAGGACATCAACAATCTTGTGATCAGATTCTGAACCAGTCTGAACCATTGAGCGATTAACTTGGTGTCTAGATTTATGACATCTCCAGTATTAGCTCTGAAGCCAATAAAAGACCTAGGTCTACGTTAGGGCCAGAGAGACTTGGTGGAAACACTTGGAAAAATGCCAGGCATGGAGGTATAATGCAGACAGAAAAATTATACTCAGTATAAGCCTGAAAACCAAAATTTCAAAATACATGATGAAGGGAAAATCTATGGAAGATAGCCAATAAAATTAACAATCAAGAGATGAAT